AGAAATCCTAACAGTTGGTAAACTGGGAGTTGTAGGCCAAAACACTTGGGGACTCACAGACTGAGAATGACTGCACTAGAGAATGAATCCACTTTAAATCTGGTTTCTGCCTCCCGCAGAATTCAGGGGTTTGTAGTTTTGTGAGGCTATTCAAGGCTCCTCCCAAAACTACAAATCCCACCATTCTGCAGGAGGCAGCAACTGGATTTAAAGTGGATTCGTTCTCTAGTGTGATGAAGTAGAGTGATGAAAAGGGAGTAGGCACTGAAGGTGTCCAAATATCTTTTTAGTTGCTTGCAGATCTGTGAAACAGGTCTCAGCACTACACCCCTGAAAACATAGGTGGCAGCACTTAATCATCAATGACTACTGACTTCGCAATACACAAAGATGACCTTTGGAGGGAGAGGAGGAGGAGGATCTCCAGTGGCAACAGGTTTCATTTCAGCTGTCCCAAATGCCTACACAGCAGTTAAACACGCTCAATCCCACTCCACCATCCTGGATGCAATTACAAATCTCGAAGAGTAAAGAACTGGCTTGGGTTTGTGTCAAACAATCCCACCAGTCGCTTTGAAAAGATCAAACAATGTCATAATCCAAGCATAGCAAATGCTTCTGAAAGTTCTAAAGAAATCAGGGAAGAAAGGGGTGCATGTGTAGATGCACATTGACTTAGATCAGGCGGTTGCTTTGCATAAAATGTGAACCATTCGACTCCAACAAAGCGACATGTGCAAAGCTTAGTGCCTGTCTGTGTGCTGTGTATATTTAAGAAATAAAACATTAGGTCAGGTTGGACAAAAGACGAGTGCGAGAAGTAGCACACTTCAGCAACCTAGAAGAATGAGATATTAAAACAGCTTTACCATCTCTAAATTTAAAAATAAACTCATGCTCAATGCAGGAGACATTCGTTTCTGCACATGGCAAAAGACCCCTGCAAATGAAATCCTAAACCTTTCTTGTGTTTGAAATGACAATGAGACACAAGATGTAACTCCTTTCATCCCAACCTTTGTCACTCACTGTACTTTTTACTCAGCTATTGTCACCGGTAGCTCATTCAAAAGGAGTCACAGTCAAAAGCCTGTCCTGTGAACTGGACCATTCTTTTCCGCTGCCAAGACCCTGCAAGAACCGAATAATTACCAGCAAGCCTGGAATGAAACTGGAGGCAAGCATGTAAATCCTCACTGTTACCCATTCAAGATCCTTTGGGGAAAAAATTTCTTTGTGGGCTTCAAATGAAAACATTTCATTCAGTTTGTTCAGGAAACTCCAGAGACTGACGAGTCAAGCATCAACTTCAATTTGTCTTTAACATTATTCACTTTTAATCCCCTCTCTCTATGTCAAACACTTGAAAGGATTTGGCACTTTTAAAGGGGAAAAAAATCCCTGCCAGATATTCCCCCCACTCCAGTGCGCCAGAGGTTTTAAAACACACACACACTCCCATTTCCTTTCTTAAGAGAGCTGGAGTGGCAACAAAGACTCAGGAAACAGTGAGTCCAGGAACCTCCTAGAGTCTGTCCTCTCAAAACAAAAGATACAGGCTATTTTCCTTCCCCAACCCCAAGGGAAAAAAAACATGGCAGTAAATATTGCGTGCCAGAAATGAGAGAAAAGTTTCAACATAGACACAGAATCAGAGTTGGAAGAGACCTCATGGGCCATCCAGTCCAACCCCCTGTCCAATCCACCTCCAGTCCAATCCACCTTCAAAGCACCTCCGACAGATGGTCATCCAGCCTCTGCTTAAAAGCCTCCAAAGAAGAAGCCTCCACCAGACTCTGGGGCACTAAGTTCTATGGCTGAACAGCTCTCATGGTTAGGAAGATCTTCCTAAAGTTCAGGCAGAATCTCCTTTCCTGTAGTTTGAAGCTATTGTTCCATGTCTTGGTCTCCAGGGCAGTAAAAACAAACTTGCTCCCTCCTCCCTATGACTTTCCCTCACATATTTATACATGGCTATCATGTCTCCTCTCAGCCTTCTCTTCTGTAGGCCCAACTCTTTAAGCTGCTTTTCATAGGTTTTGTTCTCCAGACTCTTGATCATTTTAGTCACCCTCTTCTGGACACATTCCAGCTTGTCACCTTCAATTGTGGTGCCCAGAACTAGACACAGTATTCCAGGTGTGGTCTAACCAAGGCAGAATAGAGGGGTTGCATGCCTTCCCTGGATCTAGACACTAAACTCCTATTGATGCAGACCAAAATCCCATTGGCTTTTTTAGCTGCCGCATCACATTGTTGTCTCATGTTTAACTTGTTGTCCACGAGGACTCCAAGATCTTTTTCACACGTACTGCTCTCGAACCATGCATCCCCCAATCTGTATCTTTGCATTTCATATTTTCTGTCTAAGTGGAGTATCTTGCATTTGTCCCTATTGAACTTCATTTTGTTAGTTTTGGCCCATCTCTCTAGCCTGTTAAGATCGTTTTGAATCCTGCTCCTGTCCTCTGGAGTATTGGCTATCCCTCCCAATATGGCGTCGTCTGCAAACTTGATGATCATGCCTTCTGACCCTTCATCTAAGTCATTAAGAAACATGCAGTTTCTAAAACTGGAAAGTTCCATCAGATGATAACAATCACAGCATGTAACAAAATTTGAAAACAGCTATAGAGTTCTTATCATCAAGAATGTTATGATGTCGTTCCAATTAACCTAAGAACTGCCAACCATAAATCTATACTACACCTCTACAGAAATAGGAGTCTCAATTTACCATAAATACATTAAAGTAATTTAGGATTCTCTCTACTGTTCATACATGCACACAAGTGATTTCTCTGATTCAATAAAGGGAAAGGGAAAGGTTTCCCTTGACATTAAGTCTAGTCATTTCCAACTCTGGGGGATGACACTCATCTCCCTTTCTAAGCCAAGGAGTTGGCATTGTCCGTAGATGCCTCCAAAGTCATGTGGCCAGCAAGACTGCATGGAGTGCCATTACCTTCCCACAGAAGTGTTACCTATTGATCTACTCACATTTGCATGTTTTCGAACTGCTAGGTTGGTAGAAGCTGGAGCTAACAGTGGGAGCTCACCCTGCTCACCGAATTCAAACCGCCAACTTTTCAGTCAGCAAGTTCAGCAGCTCAGTGGTTTAACCCGCTGCACCACTAGCTTTAATAGTGCATACTAAACTCCATTTTTGTATTTTCAGATGTCAATGTAATCAACAAGTATGCAAATGTACTTTATCTTGAATGTCTTCCCCATTTATGCCTGAAACATCCGTGTTTATTTTCCAGAATTTGAAGACAAATAAAAGCCAATAAGTACCATCTATATTTGCTACGAATTTCTAGAGGCAATGTTGAATGAGGATATATCACTCAAAATGCTAGGACCTGTGTAGTAATACGATTCTTATATAAGACAGGTGACCAAATTAGAAAAAACAACAATTTCTGTACATGCTGAAAGGCAGAAAAAAACACTAAAATCTAAAACACACTTCTAGGCTTGTCATTATCATGAGAAAAAACAATGGTGGCTTCTTTGATTGACATAACACGGAAGAGTTTAATGTTTGCAGTGTTGTTAATCCTTTTTTGTACCAATATTCTTCCAGGTTGGTCCTTCAGACTGTGATGGTACCAGACTGCCTATCTATTTTTAATGTTACAACTGCCAAGACAGCATCAGGATGTTTTTTACTTTCAACCAGGAAAAAAATAGAGGGCTGTACCATTTGAACTGAAGCTGCAGCTGTACAATTAAATCTGGTGGAGGGGATGAAGGAGTGGCGATACAGCAGTAGTTGTTCACAAAGTATTAAACAATTATGTTTTTATTTCAAAGGAAAACTTCACAGCATACCAAAGACGGCATATCTAGCCACACCAAAGACAAAAGGAACCATGTGTCTTACAACTGAATGGTTTCAGTCTGAATAATTATTAATTTACAGTTACGTTAATTATAAATAACTAACATTATAGCAGTTTTCAGATTGCCAACTTTAAAGGGTATGCAAATAGTATCACATCATATCAACAAGAATGGCAAATAATGTAACACAATTGTTTCACAAATCTTTTAAAATTAAAATTAACAGATGATTTTTTTAATAAAAAGATTTATATTTACAAATATATTCTTACTAGAAAGCTATACATAACATTCTCCCACATTTATTAAACAAGCATCGGCTTTTTTTTGCAAACTATATCATTTATTTCATCTAAAATTGTTACTCCAAAGTAGGGCTGGCTCAATGAGTTAATGGAACTTACAAATGTGTCGCTTTACCAAGTTCTCATTGATTCAATAGTTCTGTGCTTTGAATTAGAATTTGATTTATGATTATGCCTATGGCATATAGACAATAGTACCCAAACAAAGTAACTGTATTAACTGTTGGGAACTTTCTTCCTTAATTTACATCCTCCTTAGTTTTAGTTCATTTCAGAGGGCAGATTCCCAAGTACAAAAGACCAGGATGTTTCTCTGTCATTTATTTACATACAGTTACATACATACTCCGACTCCGAAGAGTCGGAGATGACTGAACGAATGAACAACAACAACACATATTGTGGAGTCCCTGATGGCGCAGCAGGTTAAAGCGCTGAGCTGCTGAACTTTCTGACTAAAAGGTTGGTGGTTCAAGACCGGGAAACAGGGTGAGCTTATGCTGTTAGTCCCAACTTCTGCCAGCCTAGCAGTTTGGAAACATGCAAATGTGAGTAAATCAACTGGTACCGCTCCAGCAAGAAGGTAACGGTGCTCCATATAGTCATGCTGGCCTCATAGCCTTGGACGTGTCTATGGACAACGCCGGATCTTCGGCTTAGAAATGGAGATGGGTGCCGTCCCGCAGAGTCAGACTCGACTAGACTTTATGTCAAGGGGAAACCTTTACCTTTACCTAGCAAAACAGAGGTTCAACCAACCCCTTGTAAGTGATATGGACACATACACAAATTTTAATACTGAAATGTAAGGGATGAAACAGATCTCAAGAAAAACTTTCATTAATGTATATTTAAAATATGTGATTTATTTCAAGAGATTTCTCATTATGTTTGCATGACACACCTACAAATTGCAGCTGACACATTTAACGTTTTGCGTCATACAGTTCGGAAAGCATTTAGGAAAATTGTAGAATTAATGCGGTTTGACAGCATTTTAACCTACACGGTGCAATGCTATGTGATCACGAGAACTGTAGTCTTACAAGGCCTATAGCAGGCATGGGCTCACTTTGGCCTTCCAGGTGTTTTGGACAGCCTCAGCCGCCATTCCCCAGAGTCGGACACGACTAGACTTAATGTCAAAAGGAAATCTCTATCTTTTAAACATAGTTTAAAAATGCACATTCAATTTTTTGTCTTATTTTAAAGTTTTCTAAAAGATACAATAATATTTTCAATACAGCTTAGAACAGGAGTCTAGAAAGAGCTTGCAAAATCGCCCATGTTTTTTTCTTCTTTCAGCTGCTTTCCAAGACAGAGAGAGTAAACAGCCTTCTCCCAGCTTTCTTCTTATCTACACAGCTGAGAGTGTAGGATGTTTACATTACCTGTCACTTGGAATTCTTCAGGATCAAATGCAAGCCAAGTACCAAAGCGCATAAGCAGCTGTAAGGAGAAAATAAAGAAGATAAATGTACCACACTAGAAAACAATAATGTTCTTTTGCTTCTTGGAAAGCCAGAGTTTTGTGTGTAGGTAAAAATGAAGGAGGGGCAGCTTTGAGGAGATCGTCACACGAAAAAGCCATCAACATCTGAAGGTGGATGGGCAACAAGTCCAGGACACTTACATTATTAGATCAGTGTTGTCAAGTTTCAGTCCATAGTACTCCCAGGCAATCTGATGGTGTGTGTCTGCCTGAAAAGAAATAAAAAAATACTACTGTAAACAATATTTTATACTTCCCCCCCACCCTCTATATATATATATCAGTTCCTTGGATTCAGTTTTTTTTGTTAGTTTAGTATTACAAGGGACTAGTATAAAGAAACGGAATATACTGTATTTTATACTAGTTGTAAGGAAACTGAAAGTATTTAAATACTTGAATTTTCTCTCCTTCCTTAATGCCCTAGTGAACAGTGATATGATCAGGTTTGCACACCAATGTGTGAAAATCTAATATAATGCTAACGAAGTCCAACTTCACACTAGTGAAATTGTTCTGAGTTACACAATTACCATTTTTCCCTAAGCAATCAATCAATGCAAAAAAATAATTGTGTAAAGAGAGAGTGAAAACAGGAGTGTGGTTCATTCATTCAAGGTCCAGAGCAGAGGCATGATCAACTTTCAGATCTCTGGGACTAGCTCAGTCACCCCGAACATAGGAGAATTGACATCAACCAAATCTTTATCTTACATTGAGATTCGCCACTAGCAAAGCAAACAGCTACAAATGAAGTGCATAGAGAATATGGAGTCATGAGTAAATGCAAGTGAAACAGTGGAAGCCTTTGAGCTCATTTCATAGGAAGTACAACAGCAGGGGAGGGCGCCATGAACAATATATGGACAGGAAGGAAAGGGAAATTTGACAACATTGCTTATACCGGCAATGCAGGGAATGCTGGTCCCAGCAATATGTAATAGATGGTGGGACTCTGTAGTGCAATGCAGCAACTGACTGTATCATATGTATGCTATACTACAGCGTGCACCAAAAGTCACAATACATACTGAAAATGGGAAATTGCAGTTCAACGTATCTTTATTTACACAAAATTCTAACCATTTGTAAAAAATTACCATTTTTTTACAAAATATTCTCTACATGTATATCAGAAGGCAGGGCTGTAGCTGGGGGGGGGGGTTCAACTCACCCCTCCCCCCAAAAAATTAAGTTAAAAAAAACTGGTTTATTCATCAATTTTAATTCGTTAACCAAATCCCCATGCTATGAGAAATATTTAAAATATGTATTATATATATTGTATGCCTTTGTGAATTTTTCTTACGTACAGAAAGCTCTGGGACACCTGTATTATATGAAGGGCAGGTGAAATGTATTACTAATTCCAAACCCATTATCTATTTGGTTTAAACTGCAGGTGCAGAACATTTAACCCTGCAGATGATTTGCCCTAAAACTGTGATCAAGATGCACTCGGTGTGGCCAATGATAATGACTGTGGGAGTTATTGCCAATAGGTACATGAGGGTGAAGGTGAGTGCAGTAGATAAAGAAAATAGTGTTCATAAAACAATCTTTCAAAAGGAGTCTATTTTTCTAAAATTAAAAAAACAAGTACTTTGTACTGCATAGAAATTCTCCACAAAGAAGCATTGAGTCTGGGTAGGTCTATTAGCAAAGGGTCTCCCAGAGGTCTCTCACTCATAAGGTCACAATAAATCAAAACTGTCTTGATGGCACAAATCAACAAGCCAATTCCATCATGGCACATGTTCAGTCAGAGTGCACAAATACAAGTCACAAAGAAAAGCAGCACAATGTAAGTGGCTAAGTTACGCCCTGAAGCACTTTCACATTTACTCTATGGAAGCAAAATTAAATTAGTTGCAGAGAAGAATGTTGTACTTGACCAACTGTGCAGGAATAGAACAGTTATACCTCTAAAATATGCCACTTGATTATATCACAAGTTCTCAAACCCTTCTTAATATGAGATACTTTTAAAGTGTTCTTCAGACTCTTCCAGGAGTCTTTTGTTATTTATTCGTTGGTGCACTTAATGGGAGCTCTACTCCAACAAGGCTACTCCATGGCAACTGATTCAGAGAGAGTGATACACAATTGTTCAAAGCTAACTGCAGAAACAATGCATTTATTTTACGAGTATATGGAAACTTTCCTGGATATGTGATGAGTCTATCTATAGAGGTAACCATGGAATTTCAAAAAAGAAGATAAGCACCTAACAGCATAGGGCCATTGCATTAAGCACCTATGGCAGAAGTTGGCAGAATTTTGAGTAACACGCACACACACACACACACACACACACACCACTAAAAATGTATTATTGCTTCATTAATGTTATACAGGCCACCTAAAATTTAATGTACCTGTTAGTGAAACTGTTATCTGCAGTTTTCATATTCCATCAACTCACATTTGGCACAGCACCAGTAATTTAATAACCAGCCTTAAATGTGCTACAAAAGATACAATGGAATATGCTGACTGAATTTGAATACGACCTTATCCTGATTTACTACCACTTCTGGAATTACTTCAGCACAATTTATGTTTTCTCACAAGAAGGGGCATTGAGAGCTGAACAATGATTAGCTACACTCACTCTGAAAACTGTAATCATAAAGTTCATGGCAGTTTCAAATCTTTCTAACTTGGTAAGTTTGGGTTGACAATCCAATCACCTTGGGTTCTCCCATCATTAAAAAAAGCAACAACCCCAGATCACTAAAATCAGAATTGCAAATCTTTAGCTATTTGCCCCAATATATTCTGACATTTTAATACAACTCAGACATAACATAACATTGAACACCTCTTGCCATGTACAAGCCTCGGGTGACTTTTTCCTATAAGCTTTCAGCTTCTCATTAAATCCTTCGGAATGAATTATATCCATTTCAATATCAACAGTTCTCACATATTGATTTTGCTCATTTTCATTGTGTATCACATTTGTGGTGTCTTAAAATCTCCTGCATCTGACCTACACCACCACCATAGTATGGCATTTTTTTTTTCAGTTTACATGGAACTTGGTTCAAGAGGAAGCAAACTGCCTCCTAGGAGAATGTACATGTTGGTCAGCATGCCTCAATTCACAAAGGTATCGTTCCCTGTAATAGTGTGTCAAAAGGTAGGGATTAGTCTGTCTGAGAAGTGAAAGGATAACACTACAGATATCAAAAGTGAAGCAACATGTCTGATGAAACTGGTTTCTACACTGCAGCAGCAAAAAACATCCTATCTCCCATCACACTCAACATGTGGGCAAGATTATCCAAACTTTTCTAAGACTGTACAATCATTACATGCCAAATAGGGCAAATGTTATGTTTGGAAAATGGATACCTGAAATTATCAGCAATGAGATGCTATGATAAACTTGCCAAAGTCAAAATTTTCAAACTCCATCTTGCCAAGTTATGTCTCAGATGTATTGATTTTGTATATTTTGGGTTTGGAAGGACTTTTTACTTTGAATGTCTTAAATGCAAATAGGACAACATCTCAACACTGAAGCCAATACAAACATGAAAACTTACTATTCTCCAACTGTTGGTGTAAAATAGCTGTCGATCTTTAAAGCTGATTTAAAGATACATCAGAAGTAGAAACAGCAAAATGAGGATTGATCATAAACCCTACTTAGCCAAACGAACTGTCCAGCAGATTCAAATATGATTGTCCCTTCATCAGCTTCCCTATGCAATCAGAGTCTGATTTAGGTGGTTCAGTTCTCCTTGAAGGAGGCGGGGTTCACAGATCCTGTTTGAACAGTCTACCAGGGCTTTAATTTAATTTTAATAGCTCTACAGGCTAATGGGTATACTACGGCAGGGATCAGAAGATTTGCCAGACCAAGAACAAGCCACGAGAGTAAAGACAAAGATCCTCCTAGAGGAAAAGTGTTTGTGCCATACATCAAGAGAACAACTGACCGCATAGGGAAGCTGATGAAGAAACATAATATACAAACAATCTACAGACCACTAAGAAAATTCAACAAATGCTATGTTCAGCAAAAGAGGGATCCTCTAACCACTGCAGGAATCTATTGTATACTGTACAGCTATGGACAAGTCTACATAGGGACCACCAAACGCACAAACAAATAACATGAAAGCCACTGCAGACTAATTCAACCAGAGAAGTCCGCTGTAGGAAAGCACATGATAAACCAACCTAGACACACAATATTATTCGAGAACACTAGGACCCTGCTCAGTTAGGATCCTGCTCTGCACTTTATCCACTTCCCCAGCCCTATGACACTTTGTTGTAGTAGCACTTGCCTAGCTCTTTCATAGCTGACCATGTCCACTTCGTAATTCTGGCCACTGGTATTCTGAATCCTGTCGGATGAAGTAAAATTGAAACTGGGTTTTAATTTTTGTTACTGTTTTAAAAGGATTTACATTTATGTTTTATGATATTTAATTTTGTATTTTTTCTGTTCGGCAATTGAATGTTTTGCCCTATGTTGGAAACCGCCCTGAGTCCCTTGGGGAGATAGGGCGATATATAAATAAAGTTTTATTTATTTAACGCAGAAATTTTGGACCACTCTAACAACCACCATGTCAGACTACACAGAGAAGTCACTGAAATCCACAAGCATATGAACAATTTCAACAGAAAGGAGGAAACCATGAAAATGAACAAAATCTGGACACCAGTATTAAAAAGCAAGGTGGTAAATAATTAACACCATTCAGAAGCAGGAGAACTCCAGACAACAAATAATCAAGGGCCAGTTAACACCTCCCAAACAGAGGATGCCTCCTGGCAACAAAGGCCAGGCTACCTCTATACAGATATCTTCACTTTGCAAACTTCATGGCTACTCAAATGCAAAATCAAGCTTGTTAATTGCAAACATCCACACTTGCTTTAAACAGACAAGGGTTCTTTTTCCCACCCTGGACATTTCACAGGTATATATACACTCTACTTGCCTCACTGTCAACAGAATCTCTGAAGATGCCAGCCAGATGCAGGTGAAACGTCAGGAGAGAATGCTACTGGAACATGGCCATTCAGCCCAAAAAACTCACAGCAACCCAGTAATTCTGGCCACAAAAGCCTTCAACAATATTTTTTTCTTCTCTTTAGGAGGCACAAAACTAAACTAAATGTTTCAGTTACAATTCCTAGTAGCCAAAGAAACCCTTTCAGTCCTTCAGTGTCTTCCATATTA